TGAGCACCTGAAGATAAAACACACAGGCGATATTCTATACCTGCAAACCACCGTGTTTTCTGTTCATGTTTATTAAATTACCAATTAGTACGGAGAGCTTTTTAATATCTTTTGTCCTTGTAGCTGTAAAAAACACTAATTATTAAAGTCATAAAGTTGTCTGCCTGCTACATTATATTATTCAATTGAATAAGTGTTTGTGCAAATGTTTAGGCTAAAACCTGGGCTTATTCTACGTTGCTTTACGGTTCCAGTGTGTGCGTTCGTGCGAAGTGAACTTGTTGGGACCAGTGTCGTCATCGTAAACTTAAACTGAAAGGAAAACAAACACTAAATAAAAGGAAATAATTCGTGGACAGAAATAAAAATGTAACATGTACAAATATGTACAAAAACGTGTTCGATCTGCAAAAGTACCGCCACACATTCAACATATTTTTACCGTGTTTAACCACAGTAGCTTATCTCCTCTTTTAAAAGATGTTGTGGCTGCTGATCTGTCCCTTCCTTCGTCGCGACTTCAGTCCCTTGTGCGGCATATGTGGCGTGCTCCGCTAACCGAATTTATTAAGCATGAGGATACGCCAAATTTATACAGACTACAGGCTTTTGGGCATCAAAATACGCCTCTCATTAATATTTTTAGGCATACTACTAATCTGTTTATTGAATTGTGGGTGAAAATAATGTTCATGTAGTGCCGAAAAGCCCGCGTACATTAATCTAAAGCCATGTAAAGGTATACAGTTCGTTGTTTTCAAAATAAAATTAACTTAAATTAAACGGTAAAGTGGAGGAAGATTAATCGTTTAGATTAATCGACCAATCAATACAATAGTCAGCAGATAAATCAATAGAAAAATAGTCGTTAGTGGCAGTCCTAGTGCAATGTTAATATCGACGTAACATGTAGGCCTACGTTTTGCACATGCAATCGTCACATTGCAAGGAATGTGATAGTCAGCTGGTTTCAGACGATCAATACGTTATGCTAAAACATTTTACTCTATCACAGGACACAAAACTTTTTAATGATTGTTCATTTTCAAGATTAGCTAGTAGGCCTAATTGTTAAAAACATGACTTTGTGTTGGCACAACTTGCAACACCAAAAACTTATATGAAATAACTATTGTTATGAGTTCTATTTGGCTATAGTTTGAGTAAATTTTCAACTCATTTTTTGTTCCATAAAAACCACAATTATCATAAAATTTAAAAATCACATCATAATATAATTATTTTCCAATATCATGGAGCCCTAAGAACTACTGATTTTAAAGACATGATTTTAAAAATATTGCTTGATATGGATACAAAATGGACTTCAGCTGTATTTGCAGATCTCTCAATCAAATCAGCCTAGGCCCAGCCTGTCTCCCCTTCTGAGATACCTTTTGACCTTAATACCTCGCATTTGGAGACCTATTGGTTAAATTCCCCCTTGGCCACCAAGTTATTGGCTTCTTGTACCTGTTTTCAAAACTTCATTTCCTTCTGGATGCTGTCAGTGGCCTGGTGCAGTGACTCTAAACCCAAAATAACCACAGTCCCAAGCCCATTAGAGGGGTGAGTTTCAACTGCTGGTATCACCTCAGAGGGTGATATTGTTGCTTCACACCTCCAGGGATGGGGGTTTTCCAGGTGTTGCTCAGGTTTCTTCCTGAAATCCAAAGACACACAAGTGTACTGGCATCTTTAAATTATGCATAGCGTGTGATTGCTTGCATGAGCATATGTGCTCTGTGATGGAGTCACACCCCCATGCCCCCTCTCTGCACTGCAAGCCTGCACTGGATGGATAAGCAGGGCAGATGGAGTCGTCGTACCTGCGTAGCCTATACAGAGCCAGATCGCAGTGCATTTCTAAACAGGAATGCAAATAAATTACAGCCTGCGTGTCAGTCGAACAGGAGCACAGCAACCCAACGGAAAAACCCTGAACTCACTAATTACTTTTACACAAATTTATTCTGTTACATGCTACAATGGAGTGAAATCGTATTTTATATCCCAGTACAAGGTATTTGTAAAACCCCAGAAGAATTATGTTTTAAATTTATAGGTGAAAGCAAATGGAAGTCAGTCATTCATTTAGAACCCAACAGTGACTGTTTTTTATCCGACCGAAATATAAATAAATAATAAATAATATTTAAAATGATGTTTTTAAAAATTTAATTTTTAAAGACATTACTTTTTTGAACTCTCGTGAATTGTACGTTCATGGGTGTAAATTATGGGGGG